TCAAAATACACTGGAGCTGGAAAAATATTTCCACAGATTCTCAGTACTCCTGTCCAGCACAAGTTCTTGCGATAGCAAGTAGTGAAAAAGTTCTTCGCAGGAACATATGTTGGGAAACCAAAGTGATAGAGCAAGATTTCTTGCGACAATTAGTATCATCGCAATCAGTCGGGCGGATTCATGAGGGTTTTAATGAGCCAGTCCGCGGTGTTCACCACTGGTTGTTTTCCTCCTCAATCGATTACTAATCGATCCCTATTGGTAGCTAGAGGCGGACTCAGCCCGCCCCTCCTGACACCTCCCCGACTGGTTGCGACGTTATCATCAATGAAGATCGTTCTTGTTAATGACCAAGAAGAAGATAAACAATCGAACAAATAAGTGGTATAAATAAATCAGGGAATAGATAGATAGGTAAATAAATAAACAAGAAGCTCATTGCTGAAGTAGTTCAGGAGGCTACACCAACCTGCAAACAGAGACAGCAAACGGCCGTTTTGCAGACGTGGCAAAACATCGATAAAGTCTCCCCCTTGTGCTGTGAACATCGAACATCCTTGGTAGACCGTGTGGGGGTGGACCGTCTAAATCACCAGAAATCGGTTTCGAAGGGTCCGAAAGGAGTTCACCAACAGCTGAACGAACCTTTGCGATGCATTTGAGAGCGTGTGTTTTGCCAACGGTCCACGTTGAGGATGTAATGCGAGTTGACAAGGTGTGCAGTAGAAAATATCGCATTGCTCGCAGAAAACTGCCGCTGGACGGACGTTTTCTTCACACAACTGAATGAAATCAATAATCGATTACAGCTCCACATGAAAAAAAACCGCATAATCGATTTATGGACACCATAGGGGCGTTTTGGGACCAAATAACGAATGAGAAGAGCCTTAAGAGTTTCGGATTTCTGTTACTTTTTTTTGAAAATCGCTTGGCAGGTCATATCAGCTTCAGGCAGGCAGGAAATCTTACGAAAATTAAAAAATCTGCTGTACAGAGGGGATTTCTGCAAATAGAGCAGAATGGCCAGGGAATGGAGATTGAATGGGAATTCATAGGTTCCTCCTGTAGTATGCAATACCGTCTTTCCATTTTTGGATGGGATAACTCGCTCCTCCCAATTGGTTTCCTCCACTTGTACCCAGGGGTAGATTGGCTAGATAGCCACAGTACCCTCTAATGTGTTCCCAAGCGTGTTTACCCACTTTCATAGCCGTTCGCAACAATATTCAAATAGGTAATTTCC